AAAATGACAATAATTCTGATAATTGATAATAATGTTGATATGATCTTGAGAAACGTTCAATGGGGACTTCATAAGCGACATAATCAGTTTGGTATTAACAATCTGAAATTTTACTGAATAATAAATGAGTTTCTAATAAAACTATGATACTATTTAGTTTCTTAGACTTATACCTATATAGCATGTGCCCCTTGTCTTCTACGCATGTATATATATATATATATAATATACACTAAAAAGTGAATTGATTCACTTTGACAAATCAACAGTAAACTCCTAACCAATTATGACCAAGTACTCGTTGGTTTTTGAATTGGAGGAATATTGCCAGTGTTCTACTTCGCTGTGGAGTTCAATTATGTTAAGTGTTCGATATTTATTCTTTAATTTTCACTAGATGACGTAATACCTTTTCATAACGAGGTTTATTTTGGAAACGCTAACAATTTTGTTTCAATATTGTAGTTTGAGCATTAAATAGATTCTATGAAACTGGAACTTTGTTGGTTCGACTTCTGATGAGTTCATCGGTGACATAAAGTGTCATATTGTGAAAGTCAAAAGTTTCCCATTAATTTATGATTTTCAGTGGATGGACGACTGATAAAAAATAACCCCAGAAACCAACTATAGGAAACTGTTATCTAACCATAAACATATCATACTTATTAATATTTCCTTAAAACACTGAGAAATTGTTTTAATCAAATGTTACTTTCAAAGTTAATCATACTGTATATGAGTGAGTGCACATATCGATTTATGCATCAATTTATGAACAGTAACTAGTTAGTAGAATAGTAGAAAAAAGACAATGAAGATCATTGCTTTCCGATGTTTCTAATAAAAACAATATAGTTTGAAGTAGTTTTGGAAAATAATCATTATTGTCTATACGACGAAACGGCCGTCCTATGCTTCCAGGTTTTCAATGGTGGTCTAGCTTCAACTGACTCATGATTTCAATCTGTGAAAATTTCTAAAATCTCCACAAACCCCTTCTGATAAGACTTAAAGACGAACATGTATAACCTTCTAACTTTACCAATGATGTATGTTTTTTTTAGTAATTAAGGTATAAACAACTTGAAATCCAGTATTTTTCAATCGATATCACCTATTAATTCAACCGTAAGTCAATATGCATACCAGAGCATACTGTTTTATGTAAATCAATAACTATGGATTTATAACCGTAAAGGCAGAAAAAGTTACTGAAGACAATAGTTCGCTCAAACGGTTGTTTTACAACATTGAAAATTAATATTCTTTTTTATTGATGTGAGTAACATTCACTTCTTAAATGTTCTCGGTACAACATACCTGCTATCTTTTACAGTCCCCCGTTTCGCCATTTTCTTCACTTTAATATTTACTTTTATTACCCAATTTTTTTGTCCATACAATGGGCTACTTTAAAGTGGAAGATAACTATAATCACAGATTGTCTTTATGTGAAGAACCAATAAAAATCAAAGAGTAATGAGTAGTTACTTGATGCTAGTTTCGGATATCACGATAAAAATATTCCTCTATGGATTGACTTAGTAGCAGCATATAAATGTATATCGCAGTGAACATGATATTACCTAAGTGCTTAATAGGATAGGTACACTATTGAAAGTGTAACAGGAAGTTAGAACTATGCATCAACTATATCGCGACAGATAAGACTTTAATAAAGGGGGTGGGCGAAAAGCTTTAGTGCTGTATAAGATAGTGAGATAAAGAACGTCTACTATTTAGTCGCATGTAGTTTGTTTAAAAACATGGGTTATTGTTAAAATTGCTAAACTTCACTCTTTGTAAGCTATGTGACAAAACTTGGCATACATTTTATGACTGTCCTTTTATAATCTATCATTAAGAGAGGAAAAAGGCAGCTTTAGTAGAAATGCAAGCTATCCTAAAGAAACGTCTTACTTTCAACACACCATCGGTAAGCCGAAAGTAATCGATTGTTTCAGGATCTTGGTCAATAGCTAAAGGTTTTATAGTTACCACCCATTAATACATTGCTGAAATTCTTGTCCCCAGATTTTCAGGCATATTCACTGTAGTATTTAAAATACTGTCTATATGGACAATAAGTAAACTGAAATTAATATGAATGTTTGAAACTTATTATCAAACAAAGTCCAATACATCCCATAATCAGTAACATCGTTTTGCACTATAAAGTTCAGATTGATCAACATTTCATGATTTGTTAGAATTTTTTGTTATGTTTTGAGTAGTTACTCACAATAGTAAATAAAATCAAGTTATAAAATGTGGTTTGCTGTATTTCAACTGATAAGATCAATGATAATTTAATTTCTAAAGAACGTGATTGTAGTTTATACTAAATTAGATGTAGTATAGTTATGATGAATTAGAAATGAATCATAATAACTCTATTATTTAGTTTACTTGCTATGAACAATTTTACCGAATTGACTTTGTTCAGAAACATTTTGTGATGTCCATTAATATTATCAGACTGTATGAAACTGAATAACATGAAGTGGCATTTAATTCTGTAACCTGATAATTTAAATTTGAAAAGTATAATTATTAAATTAGTTCATTAGTTGAAATCATGAGTCAATTGAAGCTAGACCACCACAGAAAACCTGGAAGCACTGGACGGCTGTTCTGTTCTAGTATGGGACTCCTTGGCAGCGCGTATCCGTGATCCTACATCGCGAGATTCGAACACAGGACCCATCGGTCTTACGCGCGAACACCCAATCTCTAGACCACTGAACTGGCCGGAGTTCAACGATGGATGCGCTCTGCTGAGGAGTCCCATACTAAAACAAAACGGCCGTCCAGTGCTTCCAGGTTTTCCATGGTGGTCTAGCCTCAATTGACTCATGATTTCAACTATTTAAATTACTAAAATCTCCACAAAATCCCTTCTGATAACACTAGATTATGTAATAAAATCCCCATTTAAATTTATTATATCTGAATTATTTTGTTCTATACGAAGTATTTGTGTGGAATTCTATGAATCTTATGTATTTGATTTTAATGACTTAACGTATATCAGGTAGTTTCAGATTTATACTTTAACAATTTTATAAAATAATCTATTTCATAATTCATTTGAAGACTTTTGTCAACCCTCTAAGAAATTCGCTTCCATATCAAAGTTAGGTTATTTAGGTATGATTCAATAATATTCTATTCCATTGAGTACATTCAAGTGAATTGCAATAATTTGAAATTTCATTATAGGCAGAGTTAGATAGTGGTTTATAATGCTTGTGACTTCAAAAAATATTGAGGCAATACGTACAGGTTGCACATATGCCAATAAGAGACTGATTAGTTACGGTCTCAACCATCAATGGGAAGATTCAAACAATCAATACAAAAATGAATAAAAACTTCACCTCGTTACTTAAGATAGTAGCTGTTAGAAAGCACTAGCTAAGTAGATAATGAGATGGCGTTTAAAGTGAACGGTACTGGTTCGAGTCCCCGGAGTGAACATCAGCTGTGTAGTTCGAGCAAATCTAGCTGATGAGTCGCAAATAGGACAAAACGCGCGTTCTGGATTGCACTGATAATCACTATCCATCTTTGCTCATAATGCTTGTGAATATTCAATCAAATAATTCATGCCTCTCACATCTATTGTGGTTAAGTAACTAAATATTTTGTTACTGGAATGATGAATGCTGAGAGCTAGTTCCGACGGTAACATAAACAGAATGAGATTCAATTATCTTTAGTTAATGAATTAGAACTAAGAGGGTAATTAGGACTCCTGATCACTATATCATGTTTACACAAGTAACAATTGTTCTACTTATCAACTCAGAACATAAGTTCAATTAAGAATGAATAATTAATTAGTACTCAATATATTGATACATGTACTTGTTCGTCGCTTATTCAAATGGTGGATTTGAGTTATTCCCCATTATGTTAAGATCAGTATTATTGATCAAGGTATAAAAATTGTAAAATTATCTTGTTACATAATATTTGCGGAAACATATAAGCGTTTGAAACACATTTATTTCATGATATTACATATTATCACTTCATCATGTCATGTGATTGGATGTAGTTGACACAGAATCTTGGATTAAGGGTAAATCAATTACTTAGATTTCAGCACGAAGCCTACATTCATGATTTCTCATTGTCTATCTCTTCAAACATAAAATCTCAGCATAGTAAACACGATATCGAGTAAATTCAACTAGTCATCATATTAAACTTTGTACAATAAGTAGTACTCAATCAAAACTAAATGACCAGACAAATATGTCATGTTCATTGATCAATCAATTGTAATTCCATATTATGTTACCCAAAAACTTTTGATTACATATTCGAATGAGTTAGTTTGAATTCAATTCAGTTTGTTTATAATTTTAATGTCAAAGAGGAAAAAACAACCCCGAAAGCCAATTGATTAGAACACAGTGTTCATTGAATACTTATTCATGATGAAATTTTACGGAATCAAGTATAACAGTAATAATTATCATATTCTATACATTTTGTTGGCAAGCATATTTTACACGTATATAATTCATATTGTTTCTATTAGAAATTAATGACATGTGAATTCAATTTAAAAGTTTTCAGTGAAAAAAAACAAACTTTTTTTGTTGTTGAATAATTGTAAACTTGTAAACGGAATGATAACCATTAAAATGATTGAAACCACGTGTTTAACTATTGTGTATCACAGTGTTTAACAACCACCGCAACAACAACAACGAAAAAAAAAGAATCACTTTCAAGAATTTCATTCTGATGTTTATGTATATGTATGTGGATAAACATGTATAATTATTATTTAATCACAAATCAAATATATATACATATATAAAAGTCAAATACAAATGGTAACTCATCATTGATCATAGGAGGTGTGGTTAACTATTCACAAATTTCAGGTTAAACATTATCATTATTATTACTACTTTCAATCAACTAATAAATATACGATCGAATTCTATTGAAAACAATAAATTATCAACTTCAAGATTATGGAATCTGTAAGTTTTCAATTGTTTATCCTGGAAAATTTAATTCATTTTGTATTGTTTATTTGAATCTTCCTATTGATGTTTTAGAACTACAATTGATCAATCTCTTATTAGCATATATACATTCTGTACGGATTACTTCGATATTGTCTTAAATGTTGTATTCAATATGAGAATAACTACAATAAACTCTTGAAAACATGTTTGATATATTCTTAAGAAGTCACAAGAAAAGGCTTAGTTTTATAAGATTCGTTATTTATTAACAATTTTGTTACAAAGTTAATCAATCTAATTAAAATAATCAATCAAATAGTATGGGTGTATTTAATCGGGAATTATGAAATTTCAACTTAACTTAGTTCACAATAAAAATAGTTTATTTTGTTTCTAAGTTAAATGAACAACATAGTTTTAATCAATATTGTAAAGTATGTTCATACCCTGAGGTTTCATTCAATAATTCATTAGACTGTTCATGCATTTATATATATATACCATACTAATTATAATCATTGTTTACTTAATATGTAAATGGTTTTCTAGTCTATAAAATAAAAAATGAAACCTTTCAGTATCTTATCAATAGTTCGAAGTATCAAGGAATTTTACTTCAATGTATTACATTTAAGGAACTATTCATTGAATTGTACATTTTATTAAATGAATTTCATTTCAAATTTATATTCAATGAATCTTTGAACTATGCAAGAACCATTGGTTATATTATACTAAATAAATGGTAGATATTATTTTCGTTTTTCTTTTTGGTGATGAATTGACTTTTCTTCCAATTAGAAACTATATATATTTTTTATATCTATAAGATTACATGACAATGATTCAGTGAGTGACATGAGTAATGATGTAGATAACTGCATATGAATTTGGCCAGATTTTTCAAATGATCATGAAAATACTAATAGCAAGTTGAAGTTAGACATTAGCACCGTTGGATACCAGCTCAGAGGTCTAATTGTTAGGAGCTCGCGTGGGAGTCTTTTAGGTCCTGGTCTCGAATCTCGCGGGAGGCGGGATCGTGGATGCACACTGATGAGTAGCCCCATATTAGGGCGAAACAGCAATCTAGTGCTTCCAGGTTTTCCATGGTGGTCTAGCTTCAATGAACACATGATTTCAACTATTGAAATTAACAGGAAAGTATTACATTTTATAAGTTATTTATTTGAATACTGAAATCATAGATCTTTCTTATACCAGGAATTAAATGCACAAAATTAGGATGTTTTTTTACTTTCCAAACTGAATCTAATATATATTGGTTTACACCTATAACTAAGTGATTATTCTTCCCAATGTCTTACTCATTCAGTGTCAAAAGTAATGGCAACTAATATAAACGACCGATCAGGGGTTAGTATATCAGTACAAGAATGATGTCATTTATAACAATGGATTCTAATAATCTATTAATCTTTCCTCGATTAAATTATTTTGATAATGAGTGACAGTTAATATTATGTCATGATTTAAAGAAATCATCCTGAAGAACCATTACAAATTATGAAACAGTGTCTGAGAAATCTTGATATTCATACACATTTTATGCTCAATGTCACTTCAAAACTACGTTGAAACTAATTCTTTATGAAACAAACAAACGTTTCAGTTTATTGTCAACTACCTCATTGTTGAATAGTACTGTAGATTCTAGAAATTATCGTAAACATTTTTAAACGAATAATGAACAGCCGTATAAGAAGTCAATAAATATTCAATAGAATATGTTGTCTTTAATGAAAATTGTATTTCTTTCAGAAGGTAGTTTATGATAGACAACATATGCAACATCTGTGCTCAAATAATATTATAATATAAAAACAATTTTGGATTAAATATATCCATAGTTCATTAAGATCGGAAACTATTAGTTATGAAGTATTTAGGTTTAGATGATCAAAGGAAAGTCATCAGTTCAAAAACCTGATTCATTCCAAGTTTCTTTTAGCCTTTGTCATGTCTGATCAATTTACATCAAGGGAATGTTTCATTTTTAAAATTAATATCCATATTGTTAGTTTAAAAGATATAAGAATTTCCTTTCTACAGAAATTCTCATAACGACTTGTAAATTATGACATTGGATTTTCTCAGTTGAATAATATACTTATAAAATAATCATCTATTTCAAGCCAGATTCATTAAAACAATGGATGAAATGACAGAAATTTCAGCAAAAGCTAATAGGTTATGTTGTAATATAATCTCACTATATCCATGCACATTTTAGTTATCTATAAAATCGAATTAATCTTTTATTGTGTAATTCTTTATTGTATTTTATATAAGTTTATGGATTGATAGTTGTCTACGTATCTATGGATTGTTGAATGAACTAACTACTAAGTACCTGTATATTCTTTGCTTGTTTTTTTCTGTGTTAATTATTTTCAAGATCATAATCTTTTTAAGTTGAATTCATATTGACAGTTATCAGTAGTTACCAAAGTGATAAAATATATATACTTTTTTTCAGTTTTATGTTACTAACATAGATAACTCCAAAGAAGTTAGTTATTTCATCTGGATTATTTTATTCGACTTGTTTTGTGTCCATCGATTTGTACATTTAATACTGAATGAGTTTTATGCTCTGCAGATGATGTCAATTTTAATACTTCACTATAATCTATGTGGACAGCTAATTTTTCTAATAGAAAGTCATTCTAAACAGTCTTTAATTTTGCTACAAAACTGACATTTTAGAGCAGATTTATGCTTAAGTCAATGAGGTTTGGGGCAAGCTGATTATATTAGTATTAATGATGATTCTATTAAAATTAAGAATTTGATAACTGTGTATCCAATTTTTTTCACACCACTCAGTTTTATATACGTAGAAATTGAAGGGTGTTACTTGATTCTATTCACAACTTAGACTTACTCTAAAAGACAATCCTGTTAGCTAAGGATTATCATGTCATTAGTTTTTCAATGACTTTAAACTATAATATGAGAAAGGCATCTGTAGACCATACTAAATTTTAACATTGGACAGTTCTTACGAATTATTTATGTTAGTAATCAGAACAAAAAAGAGTGGTACACTCATCTCATATCTGTCATATTTGAAATAAATAAGGTTGTGACTTCATAAATGCCACTGATTTATTATTGCCATTTTTTAAATCAGCCCAGGTTTTCATATTGTCATTTCACAATATTACGTTACCGGTTCGAATATGCATATATATTAAACAAAAATTATAGTGTTTCGTTATCATTCATGTTTGACATTTTCAATTTTGCTTATGAACAAAATGAGAAATATGACAAGTTATAGTTAATTACTTGTATGAATCATAAAGGGAGGAAATATTCTTTTCGATAATACCATTTACTGAAGCTATATAATTGTACTTCTGGTAATTTGACATGCATATTAGTTTACTGGAAAATAGAGAGAAGTTAGGTCAAAAATTATCCTGAAACAATGAGTACCAAATGTTTGTCACTTAATGATCCAATAAACAGTCAGTGATACTAAGAGTGTGGTAGTTTAGTCATGAATGTTCACTTGATTTATAGAAAATGAATGACTGAATGCTGTATTAACAAATAACCAATAATTAGGAAAGTAAAGTTTTCAGGGCACTAACAGCGAATAACAATCAGTTACGGAGATTAGAAAAGGGATTAATACCACAGTACAATGAGAGACTGAATATTTCAATCTAGTATTCTGGGCTTAGGCTTTAACCGATAGATTGGCAAGGTTTCTGCAAAGGATAAGTTTTTGATTTGTACCCTCCCTCTATTAAACCGTATTGATGAATTTGAAAGATGATGATGTGGCAGTGTGTCCAAAATTTAAGAGATGTTTCATACTTGCATAAACCACTTAACAACCAGGTAGCGCAATATCCAGGGAAACGTTTTAAAATAGCTCGCCTCCAAAAGCAAAAATACTGTTATACAGGAGCATGTAAACCGAAAAATGCTCATTAATGTTATGACAGATTATCCTTGATACCTTCAGGAGTCAAAGCATAGCTGAAAATGACAGTACAAATTTGAACAGAATACAAGATTTTTTGAAAGATCAGGAAGATCTTCCTTTCAAGACCTATTTATTGTTCTTGAAGGTGACCTTATTAGTACTGTAGTTGGTCTCTCATGTTACAACGCCGACTTTGTTAGTGCCGACGGTTCTAGGAGGTTAGACATTACTGAAAAAAAACTGTCGAAGTTTATCCAACTAGTCTTTGACTATATCGCCAGTACAGGTTAGTCAAGCTATAGATAAAGGCGATTTAATGAAGTTTCTTATCAACCTCTACTGCGCACAAATTCAAAAGTCGTTGTAGTGGTAGGTTTAGGTTGGCCTTCTGTAAACTGATCTTTGTAGTTAACCATCTGTTATTCTTTTTAGGATATACAGGAATCAAAATTTCAGGTTCCACTATGATTCTTGTGTGAACGTAACTGATAAGTGGTAGCTACTGAACATCTGCACGATATCGCTGATTTCAGTACCTTCGTCAAAATTGTTGGAATTATTCTATATCGGAACCTGTTCTACTAAACTGGCATCTAAGTGTTCATATTTTCAGTCAGTAAGAGACAAGGGACATTTTTAACTATTATCCTCTATGGATTATCAACAAAATCTGAACGTGGTTATGTACACAGGTCACTGTTGTTAGTTAAAGTTGGAGGTAACCAACCTCTAAACACATGAGTATTATTAAAAAAAGATGAATTGTAAAGATTATAATGTCCCGAATTTGAGGGTCTTTAATTTTACTCTGTTGTAATAAAATGAGAAACCAGTTTGACAATTACAAATTTATCACAAGAAAATTTGTTCGTAAAAAATTAATTTCCAAGATGTTTATTTGTTTATTTACATTTTCAAAAGAATAAAAAATTCACGAATTCGTTGGCGCTCTCTGTATTCTTGACGTGTTTAGGATCATCCTTTACAATTGGTTACAATTTAGGAATATTAAATTTGCCAGGAGAGGTAAGTCAATTACATGTATGATGAAGAAAATGACTTTTTAAACATGATACTTAATTATTAAATGATCCGGAGAAATGACTGAAAGGATTCAAAATATTCAGTAAAGTTATCGGTCAAGAATGAAAGATTAAATTGTGCATTCTATTTTAACTCAGTTCATTAATAAAACATTAATGATTGACTAGATATTGAATTGATGTAGTATATACCACTCGTTATGACAGACGATTATCCATCAAATTGTATTAGCATTGACGAATGAATGAATAACCAAAATGAAGAATCAAGCTTTAGACTCATAAGTCATACAAAATATGGAATAAGTGATTATGTTTGTAAGGCGAATAAATTTTTTAGCGTGTTGTAGCGGTGAAATGATTAGCATTCGATCTGCACTGCGAAGGACCTGACACACATGACATTGATCCCTACCCAGTGATCAATCAATTGTGAATATATCATAATCCTACAGTAGGTCAGTCGCGGCTCGATAGCCCGATAGTAACACCATTAACTGCGAGGCTGGATGATACGCTATCGAATCCGTCAGGGAGATTACAGGTACACCTTGCTGACGAGTGCCAAGTAGCAAGAAACCTTGGTTTAGGGTCTCCTGTTGACCACCTCCAACCACTATTTTATCTCAACATAGTGCACGCAATGTCTAGTCATCTAAACTAGTGGCCACATTACAACTTGGTCTATGGCATTCGATCTGCATTAAGAATGACCTGAAACACTTGACATTGATCACCACCCAGTGATCAAACAATTGTGAATTAGTACATAATGTATGTTTGAATAATGGCATAAATCAAGAATGATTATAACATCGGTAATTGTAAGTTCGAATAAAAGGAATAATATTTTTATTAAAAATTTGATCATTATAGGTTGATGTCAACTTTACCGTTCCTCAATGTTCAAGAAACATATTGTATTTAGCACTTCTCATCACTTTATTATCTAGAAAGTGTATGATGACTAAGTATTCAAGTGTAAATTTCATTAGAAACTATAGTTTAAGTTCTAAATTTCAATATTTTAAAGGTTTTTAACCTGGATGCTTGGATGAACTACACTGATATATTAATAACTCATATTTTTGGGGTAAATTCAAAGGTTTGAAACGAAATGTTTACTAAGAAATGTAATCTAATATTACAACAAATGAAACGATACTAACTAGTTAGAAGCTTATTGGCAAGAAAATATTAATTTAAATGTTAGTTACTAAGATGGTGTCAAGTATTGTTAGCAATAAAAATTGAACTAGTTCTGAACTGAAATTTAGTTAAACATTATGTGGAATTATTGAGAACTATGTTGGAAGTTTATCGATTATTTAAATTACAAAAATCATTGTCTCAATTATGTCATCACTATTGATTGACATATTTATGATACCATGGTAATAATCAATTAATAATTTTGCATGGAATCCAGATAATCTGTGTTATTTAATTTTTATTTATAGTTCTTTATCCATTTTATAATAAACAATATATGGAATATCTGCTTCTAATAGCCTCTAGAGGCTTTGTTACACAACCCTAGATTTTGTGACTAAGGAAATATCTTGATTAAGACAAAATTTTTAGTACTAAAGTTATTCTGCTCGACTTTCATGAGTATTTGGAGTATATTCTTCTTGATTATCTAACACTTACTACATGGATTTTAAACCATTTTGTTTCATTTCTACATTTTTACAGCATATTAAAGAGTTTTTATCTCAAACTATGTTGGGTAAAAATGCAAGTGTAGCTGAAGATACAACAAATCTTGTGACACCAAGTTTTTTATATGCTCAAGTTAGCACAGCTTTTGTAATAGCTGGTGCAATTGGAGCTTTCAGTTGTGGTGCTATAGCTGATTGCTTAGGAAGGTAAATAATGATTTAATTTAATTATAGATGATGAGACTAGAATTTTTGGATGAACAATCAGATTTATGATAGCATGTCTTGGATTTTGGCACGAAATTCATTCACTCATTTGGCTAAATAACATTTTAGCATTATAGCTGATATCAGTTCGTGATGAAAACAATAAATCTTAACGTTCAACTGTAAATCCTAATCCTGATTCTTCATACTAATCTATAATCTTCATTTAACCCTAGTAAGTAGGTGAACAATCCAAAGTCATTTTAGCGCTGCATAAAAATTGTCCATAAATTATAGATTGCTAACACTTTATGATGATTATTTGATTGACACTGTTAATAGCATGCATTTAAACGTTCATGTTGATTTAACATACGATTTGCAAATTATAAACTTAAATCATTAAATAAGTCTAATCCAAATGACCTCCTTTATTGATGACTTCAGTTTTACCACTTGATTATTTTGAAAATAATACAGTAGAACCAAATAAAGATTAAATTTTGCATTAGTGTTTTAAATAGGATCAAATGTTCTTAGAAGAAATCTATGTAATGATATATCTATAAGTGGTTAAAACTCAATTCTATTGACGACATCCTGCAGAACATTTTGCGCACTAAATAAATGGAAAAATCACATCTTTTCTGGAAAGTTATTATACTTAAATTGCATCATAGTATAACGTAACACTACCCAGCTTTCATAAGCTTTTTTACGTATTTAATTAAGTATGGCTAGACTTGATAATTTCGTAACATTGCATTATACTACTATTGACAACTCGTTGTAAAAATGACTTATGATTAAGACTGCACAGCTCAAGAAAATGACATCGTCAAGAAAAAAATTTACTTAAATGAAACATCTTTGTACGTTGAATAGAGCAGTGAAACATTTAAACGGCTAAAACTTCATATTTTTCGAATTAGTTCAAAACGTTATCATCCATGTTTATTATTTTGTGTTATTTTTTAAGAAAATCGCTAAAATGGTGTTTTCGTATTTACTTTAATAGACGTAATGGTCTAATAGTAAACAGTTTATTTGCAATCGTTGGAGGAATAATGGTTGGTCCATGTGTAGCATATAGTAAACCTGCATTACTATTTGTCGGACGTGTTTTAAATGGATTTAATTTTGGAATATCAATGGGAATAGCACCAATGTATTTAACAGAAATAGCACCCATATCTCTTCGTGGTGGAATTGGTTCATTACATCAGCTTGCTTTAACTATCGGGATACTTGTATCCTACTTAGCAACATTAACATACACATTAAATTCATCAACTTTGTGGCCCATATCTGTCGCTGTTGGATCAATTCCTGCATTCATTGCATTAATTCTTCTACCTTATTGTCCTGAGAGTCCACGTTTTTTATTTATGAAAAAAGGAAAAGAAGAACAAGCACGTAAAGCTTTTCAGCGACTTAATTGTAAAGATAATATCGATGAAACATTTGATGAAATGAAAAGAGAAATGAATGAAGCTGAAAAACGAACAAAATTCAAATTTTCCAAACTTTTCACTCAAAAAGATTTACGTATGCCAGTATTAATTGCTTGTATCATACAAGTATTTCAACAACTTTCTGGAATTAATGCTGTTAGTTTTGAACCCATTTATTTTTAAATATTTTTTTCTTGATGAAATGTTAGTAATCATAGTAATTAACTTCATTGATAGATATTGTACATTGTCATCAATCACATATTTATGAATGAATGAATCCTTTGGTTAACATGATTAAGAAATTGATTCTCATATTGTATTACATGAAAATCAAAGATATCATGCATGTATAGTCAAGTTAATAGAATGAACTTTGTAATGTTATAGTGTTGTGTTATAGAGTTTTAAACAAGTCATGCTAGTGAACTAAAATATGTAGTGTGTATATAAAAAAAATTAAACTTTTACATCTGTTACGGGATAAATACATCGAAATTGTGTCATTTGTGAATCAAAAAGGTCATTTACTAAAGGTTAAAGTGATTCATTGTAAGGTGTCAAGATATAATCAATGTAATAGCAATAAAATCATATAAATAAAATGCATAGTAGGAGAACTTTTCCTGAACAATGGACAATATTAATAATAATAATAATAATAATAATAAGAGATGTGTTGTCAAAATTATTATGGTAAGAAACGGCCGTCCTGTGCTCCCAGGTTTTCCATGGTGGTCTAGCTTCAACTGACTCATGATCTTAACTATTGAAATTACTATAATATCCACAAAACCCATCTGATATAAATATAAATGTGTAGATTAAGAATGGAACAGGATAAAAATAAAAATGAAGGGAATTGGGGCGGAGTTAAGGGGTTTACAATGTTCATTGACTACCCAGTTTTCAGAGACAGAACATATCTCTTTTGGACACATAAGTAAGGTCTTCAGAGGTTGAAACCGACGACTTCATTTATATAGTGAAGTCGTAATCTTTCTCTTTTAGGAAGATTACTTGAAATCTGGTGCAAAACTGAGAAAGTTGCGTCTTTTTTATTATTATTAAAATATTATTAAAAGATTTCCTGACAACTTTTATCAAATACGCCAATACTTGTTAACAGGTACTCAAGGATAAACGGCTCTGAGTACGGCCTATGTAAGTAAACCTGCAGGAACAGTTGAATTGGTAAGACACATGAACGATGCCATCGATGCTAACTTGTCATCGATTCGTTATGTGAGTAATGATTTATATCTTAGCGGCGTAAAATGTTCTGTTAACAGGTCATTTCAGTTGACATATTAAAATGTTACCTGATGCGTCTTCTTTAAGATCGAGATTTAGACAATGAGTCTTATGATTGACCTTATCGATATTCGGCCTATTTTTTGTTATGATAGATATATTTTGACAAAATCACCTGGATAGCTGCTATTCCATAGTGTATTCTTTAGTTTATACACATATGTATACAATCTGAAGAATAAGAAGTCAACAAACGGTTGCTACTAAACCGACCAAGATATGTAGCTGAAAATTAAAGCAACAGATAATTCACAGAAGGTTAACAAAATAATTAAATTCATTTATTTTTACAAACTTTAAATTCTTTTATCTGGTTTTCTCTTTCAGGTAATCACTTATTCTTCCACAATGCTTAAAACTGCTGGAATTCCATTGATGTATATTCAGTTTTGCGTAGTTGCTGTCGGAGCAATTAATGTGTTAATGACTGTACTTTCGGTATATTTAATTGAACGTGCCGGACGTAGAACTCTTCTTTTATGGCCAGCAGTACTTCTTGCTTTTTCATTATTATTTTTAACAATTTCAGTGAATGTAGCAAGTTCAACAACAGATCCATCAACAGCTCGAACAGCTGGAATCACTTCAGCCGCTCTTATAATTCTATATGTTTGTGGTTTTGCTTTAGGTTTAGGTCCAATTCCCGGTGTAATTGTTGCTGAAATATTTAGACAAGAACCAAGAGCTGCAGCCTATTCTCTAAGTCAAGGAGTTAACTTATTATGCAATTTATTGGTGTTATTCAGTTATCCAAGTATTAATGTAAGTAATAAATTTAATAGAATTAATTTCTAATGATTGAAGTATGATTTAGGTATTTCCTGTTTCTGAATGTATTAAGTTAGAAAATGTGAATTGGAATGAGATTTTGACACACAGACTTTGAAAAACTGGAAAAGTGGTCATATTATAAAATGTCATCACTCATTCACTAACCGTATCCCAAGTTCACTCGGATCATTATTTGAACATTATTACTATGATGTGTTGAATAAGACTGTTGTATACAGCCTAGATAAATAACGTAAATAACAAGTTTGGACTGAATGTATGTGAAAAAAGGCCTATCGAAGATAGGCAAATCTCACTTCTGAACATATTTTATTTAATAAATGATTACAATGCTATTACGGTGTGTACTTTGTATGTGGACAGATATAAGTAATATGTAGCAGGAATAGGAAGTGAAATGCTTTCCAGCAAAATATTCAAATAAAGAGAATGAGAAAGAAAATGAAGTCCAATCGGAATAACAAGAGAATAAGAAGAATTATAGAGTATGTAAAGGACAACTTCAGGAAAACGTGCAATATACGTATTTAATGTATGATTTATATATTTTATAAAGGCACTGTGCGATTATGCATAAAGCGGTAAACTGTTTTCCCTTACCTGAGTCTTCATCCATTGTTCTGTGACATAGTTGAAAACTGTTGTTAGTTTGTAAGGATGAAAATCTTATTTGATTTTCACCTATTTAAACTAATTAAAAGGTATTTATTTTGAAAAAAAAGATAATATGCCAATACTAATCACAAAATTTATTAGGTAGAATGAGTTAACTTAATCATCATTTTGTTATACGTTGAATTTACCGAGTCAAATTTACCAAATTATCAAAACTATACCCAACAAATTAGTATATCCAAATTTCATAGCTTGGCAACATTACAAAGAAAAAAGACGAAACACTTCAATCTTTTGGATCAAAGTACAAACAATGATGGATTAATGTCGGTTAAATATCTTAGTTTGAATAATTTCTGGTTAGCGTGTTTTTAGCTAGTTTGTTTTCTACGGGATGGGGTCGCTAACCTCATGCCCAACCCTCCTCCTTCATCCGGGCTTATGACCGACAGTAGCCCCTGGAGGGACTCCAGACGAAGTTTAAACATCTTAGTATTCGAAATGATTGATTAGAACCGTCGTACTACAACGATTTCATATGTTTGTACCAAATATATAAAACTTAAAACATATCAGTTAGATAATTATAATATTTTATTTTATCAGCCAAATCGTTCAAGGAATTATCATTTAAATAGTTTCCTTGGCTGCTAATTTATAACTGTATCTCATCTTGATGGAAATTAAAGTCAATTTCAGACTATAACATATTGGATAATAGTTATACTCAAACTATATGTATATAAAATAAAAAAGAAATGATTATATACATTCATGAGATAGTACATTTTGATTGATTTTCTGAAGAATAGAAACATTTAAACAATCTTACTAATTTTCATCAATATTCAAAAGTTACGTCAATTGAGTATACGTATTTTCCATAAGATTACCAGTCGATCAGTAAAGAGATAAGATATATTATCAAAAGATGAGTAAAACACTTTTGAATCGGATAGTTTACCTCTTAAAGAATTTAGTAATATTGATTATTTCTCTTATAAATTTTAACGAATGATAAATCTTTTAAAATACAATTCAACTACATAATACATTTTTATGTCCAAAACGGTAGGTAATTTGATTTTTAACTTACTTCATTACATACAACTAGAAAGATATACATTTCTTAAGTATATGAATGTAAATAGTAAATGTCTGAACAATGAATTGTCATATGATCATTTATTGTAATGATGAGATAACTATTCTCATTCTTTCATGGTGTAATTCTATTTATAAATAATGAACGATGTCAATAAAAATTAATCATGGTGTAAAAAAACATGTCAGTTATAAATGACTGATACAAATATGAAACAGACCATTCCCATTGGGGTGATTACAAATATCAGCATTATATAAATGCCACCTAGACTTTTGGAACTTATGTTGATTGTTATTAGCAGTTACTAAGATAGCAATTCCAGTCATACTGTACAGTAATAACGTAGGATTTTCGTTGTCAAAACATGTGATATTTCTCTTTTAAACTAATGAAAGTTGTTCAACTATTCCTGTTTAAAATATGAAATACATTCAAGTGAACACGTATTGTTGAATTTCATAGTTTATATTACGCGTTTGTCTTAATTAAAGAACTATTGAGAACCAGGAAGCATTGGGCAACTATTTTGTCTTAACATGGGATTTGATTAAAACTTTATATTTAGATTACTGAAATAATATTCAATTGTCTACATTTTGTATTCTTGGTATGTTACAACAAACATCAAGTAATCTTCTATAAGAAAATACTATACTTTGAATTTCCTTAAATTTGATTTATGATACATAACCGTTAAATTAATGAACCATCCCATTTTTAATATTATATTCATTGAGCTTATCACTAACACTATTTTTCTCTCTTTTTTCCTTCTTTTTTTTTAAAGGATGCAATTGGTGGTTATTCATTTCTACCATTTTTAGTTATAGTTATTGTCTGTTGGATATTCTTTTATGCATATATGATTGAAACAAAGAACCGTACATGTGATAGTAATGCAAGAGATTTAGCTTCACCGAAAATTGTCGCTTGTCAGCGACCAACAAGATTAAGTTATAAAAATGAAGAACCATTTTATTCAGATGAATAAAATAAATTTATTAAATAAAAAAAAACAACTGATTCACTTCACACACACACACATATTCTCCCACCACCCACCAAAAGAAAAGAAATTGACAATTTTTTCAGATTGATTTTTATTTTATTAATCATTTTAAAACGGTAATTTTTTGGCTTGTTCATCGTTGATTTCTTTCGACAATATACGTTTATTTATTTATTTTTGGGGTAATAATTCATTATTTACATACTCTACTGCATTTTCTTAATCTATTTCTCTTAATAAGATTTAAATGAAAGCAAAAATAGTTGAGATGGTTACACAGTGATAAATAATTTGAATGCTTCGTTACATAACATTGTTTCTACTGTAAATAATAACAATAATTATTATTACATAATAATCAATTATTTTTTAATTTATAATCTATTTCCCCCCCCCCAGATACACATTTCTATTTCAATAATTTTACTGGTTTTATTTTTTATGAACTATTCGATGAAAAACATATTTCACATTTGATTTTTTTAATGTTAATGAATATCACTTTATAAAATGAAATGAAAAGTTATTTCATTTAACCATTTAAGTACTTTTGTTAAGTCATTTATATAAAAAGATATATAAATTGTGTAACATACATATATATTGTAGGAAAAGAAAAGATAACTTAGATTAAAGATAGATTGAATTGATTGACTTTTAACTTTCATAAATTGACAACAAATTATTTAATATAATATGGGTTTTGTGGATATTATAATAATTTCAATGGTTAAGATCATGAGTCAGTTGAAGCTAGACCACCATGGAAAACCTGGAAGCACAGGACGGCCGTTTCGTCCTATTGTGGGACTCCTCAGCACTGTGCATCCACGGCACCGTCCTCCGCGAGATTCGGACACAAGACCCACCAGTCTCTCACGCGGGTGCTTAACCACTATAGCACTGAGTCGGCATCCAATGGTGTTAATGTCTTACTTCAACTAATCCAGTAAATTGAGCGACACATCCGCCATCGTCTTCAGTGAGTTGCTATCTCACAACAGACCTGGTTGAACTCCACTGGTCACTACTTTTCACTAGAACTCCAGGATAAACCTCGTAAAGCCAGTGGTTAAGTGCTCGTGCGCGAAACCAGTAGGTCCTGGGTTCGAATCTGGCAGTGGGCAAGGTCGTAGATGCGCACTGCTGAGGAGTCCCACAATAAGACGAAACGGCCGTCCAGTGCTTCCAGGTTTTCCATGGTCGTCTAGCTTCAACTGACTCATGATCTTAACCATTGAAACGTTATTTATTTGGTTTGAAACAATGCAAACATGGAAATATATTCATTTTTTAAAAATAAATTTGAGTTACGTAAAGAATTAAATATGATTGAAGTGTTTTATTCAAAATTTAAGTAAGAATTATTTGAAACACTCACCAAAATATATAAATTAAACCATTTAAAATCTAACCTAAGGTACCAACGATGAAGATAGAGATCAGTTTCACAAAAGGCTTCAATCGATCATAGCGAAGTGCACAGGAAACGACATGACCATCCTGACGAAACACCTAAACCTCAAACTCCGAATCGACAACACTTATGAAGAAACCACTCGACGACATACATTGACTGAGAGAAAAGAAGGAGAATGTTAAGAGAGTTGCGAATTTATTACCATTCAACAAAATGGTTATAGTCGGAACTATATTACCAAACAAACGTATATATAAAGCTACATGTGTCTCACCGGAGCACCTCAAGTCGTGATTGTCAAGATGAAACTGGAGCTAGAGATACACTGGAAAACAGTAGTACAAATTTTCAATACAGACTTCTTACGAGATATTGACAAACCCAACGAATTCAGGATAACTTTCATCATTAGTTTCTGAGCGTTACAAGATCTACTCACAGAAGAAGAAACTACAATGGATGACAATTGCAAATGGATCAGTGAGGCACTAATTTCAACGTATCAGGATATATATATATATATATATATATATATATATATATATATATATATATATATATATATATATATATAGAGAGAGAGAGAGAGAGAGAGAGAGAGAGAGAGAGAAATTTTGTAGCATACATACAATGTAGAAAAAGAAAATGTATCTTAGATCATAGTTTTAATTGATTGACTTTCAACTTTCATAAATTGGCAACAAGTTATTTATTTGATTTGAAATAGTGCAAACTAGAAAATATTTTCATCTTCTAAATACATTTGAGTTATGAAGAGAATTGAATATGATTAAAGTGATTTATTCTAAATTTAAGTAAGGGTTGTGTGAAACATGTCTACCGAAATTAGTAGGTAATTTGGAATTTATCTATTTTAATAGTTGGTGATATTTAGTTTCATATTGCATAAAGTGAACATTATGCTTCATAGAAGATGAAGTGGAATGATAAGATTTTGTAAAAGTTTTGTTCCATACGAAACAGCTGAATGTCAACTCAATTATAAAGTAATTTTGAACTATAAATCTAAGAGTTTCTGAAAACTCCTCAATAAGAAAACGTATACGCCTGACTTTCTGTTTTTTGGATATACGTACATGTAAACCGGTTTATATAGTTGGTGATAAGTAAAGGTTAATTTCTTGTCTTTATTTGTGCTATTAATCATTGCTTTAAGTATATTGTAGCCAGGTTGACTGCAAAGAATTAAGCAAACGTTGAATACTTAATCGTTTTTTTACTTTAGGTTTGTGAATGATCAGATTTTGATTGTAAAGAACAATTTTTGTTTCTTTAATGAAGGGATATGCAGTTTAACTGAGTGAGTTTGATATAATAAATTGCTACACAGTGATATTTGAATAAAAGTTTTCAAATGATGACGGCCTACTTAATATTGTGGTGTGCGTTACTTATATCTACACAAGTATTATATAACGGTGGTCAGGCATAGAATATATTTCAGTAGAAGGTCGATGAGGAATGAATGGGAACGGGATGCAATTGGGATGAAAAGGCATGAACAATAAAATCTTAGACAATGGATAGATGTTTGCGACAGGAAAAGTCAAGTTTGATATAATGGATTGATAATTTGCAACTACATGGTTTTCAGATTTTATTAAGATGCTCTGTAATTTCGTGTCAAATGCATTCGATTGTCCCCACTCGTGTTCTGTTCACTACAATATTAGTTCAATTTTATCAATGCTAAAACTGAATGAATTAAAAGTAACATTAAACAATAAGAAGCCAATGAACAAACACTGTCTTAATGGTCTAACGTTACCTTTCATCGGTGCTATTCATAAACACTCTTCATATAAACCATCATATTTTACTTAATTATGTCAACACTAGTCATTCACTTTAGTGATGCTTTCAGCTCACCTAACGAATGATAACAGTTTACAAATTCCGTTTACGATTTTTTTATAGATTACACAGTCTCTCACTTATTTCTTTCTTAATTGAGTTAGAGGTATATTATTATAGATAAATTGTTACTTTATGTATGTTTTTTAAAAAGCTACTCTTTTTACAAACGACATTCAATATACAAATTTAATGTTTTTTTATACGAAATTAAAAGGGATCCAGGTCATCACATAGTCTTCATGTGATTTGGCATACAAGATGTTATGACTTTGTCATTGCATGAAATATATCTTGTGCTTAGAAAAAAATCATAGAAATGGATGTTTGAATTCTATCATTCGAATGTATCCATTTATTTCTATATGCATAGTAGAGCAATTAATGAAAAATTGTTATTATATTGGCAGTGATATTAAACTGAGACAATAAAATACAACACTGTAAAGCATAACTATCTTCGTGGTATATGTTTTTCATGAAGATGCTAACGCCTTCTTAATCTCATACACGGGATGATTTATATTTTATGGTTGTTTTGGTGAATTAAGTCTTTGTTTACCGTTTCTACACTATAGTCCAGACAATAGCTATATTTTACGTTCCTTTAACCATAAAACATATTCAATCTTTTATCATAAGAAATGTATGTTCAAAATGGATATAACAAGCTGTTATAACAGATAATAAAGCAAGTTCTGACAGAAAAATGAATATTTTGAATTACCAACATACTATTCGTCGATTTAATTTAAAATTACCTCATCTAACCAATACAAATAATTAACAGTAACTGTAGTAAATGAGATTATACCTTAGTATAAAAATATATAGTCAAGATAGTGACTGACAATTGAAGGAATAATACTAACTAATATATAACTGATTACTACTACTACTACTACTACTACTACTACTACTACTACTACTACTACTACTACTACTACTACTACTACTACTACCACTACTACTACTACTACTACTACCACTACTACTACTACTACTACTACTACTACTACTACTACTACTACTACTACTACTACTACTACTACTACTACTACTACTACTACTACTACTACTACTACTACTATTACTACTACTTACTCCAGTTACTCTTCATGGAGGAGCATAGGCCGTTCAAGAGCACTCTCTATCCATCTCTATCCTGGACAAACGTTTCCAGTTCTTTCCAGTTGCTATTTATCATTTTCATGTCTGCTTCCTATTCTAGACGCAGTGTGTACTTTAACCTTACACTTCTCGGTTTCTTTTCAGGACTCCATATTAGGGCTTGTCTCATGATGCAGGTCGTCGACTTCGTCACTGTATGTCCAATCCACTTCCACCGCCTTTTTTTAATTTCGTCTTCAGATGGAAGCTTGTTTATCCTCTTCTATGATAGACTGTTGCTCATGGTATCTGGTAAATGTACGCTGCGTATCTCTCGTAGACAACTGTTTATAAATTCCTGTGTAGTTTTGATGATGGCTGCAGTAGTTCTCCACGTTTCAGCTCCTTAGGGTAGGACCGTCTTGACAATCGTATTGAAAATTGTGACTTTGATATTGATTGACAGTTGTTTCGAGTTCCATACGTTCATCAATTGTAGGAATGCTGCCCATGCTTTGCCAATCCTCACCTTTACGTCTGCATCAGATCCTTCTTGTTCATCTATGATGTTGTCCAGGTTCCACCTGCTATCAAATTTGATTGCGTTGGTGTTCTCCATAATTAACTTTTTTCCTTATGTACGTCGAGGGTTACTGATGCAGAGGTTGGTGGTACGCTAGTTGTCTTGAGGTGCATTAGTCCGTATATAAGACAGAAATTCAAATATTCTAGTCGCATGCAAGCCTCTCATTGTATTCTGTGCTCCCTCCCAGATGTCGAGGTTTTCATAATCCAGTCAACCACGAGAAGGAGGAAAAAAGTGAGAGAGTATAAATCTTTGTCTGATACCTGTTCTCACTTGAAATACGTCTGTCAGTTCTCCTACATGCACAACTTTGCAGTGCAGTCCGTCGTATAAATTCAGAGTTATGTTGACGATCTTTTCAGTTACTCCATAGTATTGAAGAAGTTTCCATGATTTTCTCCTATCCACACTGTCT